TCACCCCACTCTGGTGGTTCCCGAGACCCCACTAAACCCAATTTTTGGGCACACCCACTCAGTTCCAGTCACTTTATCATACAAACAACCTGCCTTGGCTCGAGCAGTGGACGTTCCTAAAATCTCGCAAAGGTTCACATAACCCAAACAAGCAGCATCTTGCTTTGAGGGTCCTGCACCTTATGCTGAGCAGCCCCAAGCTGGCACTGGAGAAAGCTAGCCTCAGTTCACGTTTGGCCTCTCGAGGTACCATGAAGCACAGCATGAGTGGGGGCCATATACAGATAGCTTTGTGGCTCATGCCAGGTGGCCCTGGGTAGGGCACAGGCTGCAGATGAATCTGGCCTGCAGAGGGCTTTCTCCTAGAACTCCCAAAGACTGGCATGCCCAGTGGCCAGCTTCAGACCAAGCCAGAACATCACCCAGCTGCTTTGCTTCCAAAGACGACACCCAAAGGGCACACTGGGCAGGCACCAGAGCCCTGCTAAAGCTAATCCTGTTCCGTAGGGTCAGCCCCTGCACAAATGCTCCTCCATGTAGCCAAGGCTAGTCCTCACAACCAATGAGCCTGAAGGTCAATTCCTCCCACTGATGTGCAAACAGCAACCAAGGCTCAACTACAATAAAAGGGCACATACAACCCACACAAAGGACACACCTGGAACAACTGGCTCAGGTGACCATGGAGACTGCACCACTGAGCCCCATAGGACACCTACCACATAAGGCCACTCTACTAAGACTGGGAGACATAGCATCCCTACCTAGTACACAGAAACAAACACAGGGAGGCAGCCAAAATGGGAAGACAAAGAAACATGTCCCAAATGAAAGATCAGAACAAAGCTCCAGAAAAAAAAACTAAACAAAATTGAGATTAGCAATCTACCAGACACAGGTTTCAAAACACTGATTATAAGAATGCTCAATGATATCAGTGAGAACTTCAACAAGGAGATAGGAAACATAAATATGGAGATGAAACATAAAAAAGAGCCAGTCATAAATGAAGAATAACTGAAATGAAGACTACGTTAGAGGGAATCAGCTGCAGTTTAGATGAAGCAGAGGACTTAATCAGTGACTTCGAAGGCAAGGTTCAGAACACACCAAAAGAGAACAGTAAAAAGTAAAAAGAACCCCCCAAAAATGAGGGTAGTTTAAGGGGCCTCTGGGACAAAATCAAGCATACCAACATTCGTATCATAGGAGTACCAGAAGGAGAAGAGAGAGAGCAAGAAATTGAAAACCTATTTGAAGAAATAATGACAGAAAACTTTCCTAACCTGGTGAAGGAGGTAGACATGCAAGCCCAGAAGCAAGAGAGTCCCAAACAAGATAAACCCAAACAGGCCCACACCAACACACATCATAATTAAAATGCCAAAGGTTAAAGACAATCTTAAAAGCAGTTAGAGAAAAGCAGTTAGTTACCTACAAAAGAGCACTCATAAGACTATCAGCTAATTTCTCAACAGAAACTTTGCAGGCCAGAAGGGATTGGCATAAAATATTCAAAGTGATGAAAAGCAAGGACTGACAACCAAGATTACTCTACCAGTTAAACTATCATTTAGAACTGAAGGATAAAGAACTTCCCAGACAAGAAAAAGCTAAAGGAGCTCATCAGTATTATGAGGAATGTTAGAGGGACTTCTTTAAGATGAAAAACAAAGATAAAAAACATGAGTAATAAAATGGCAATAAATACATATCAACAATTACTTTAAATGTAAATGGATTAAGTGCTCCAATCATAGATATAGAGTAGCTGAATAGATAAGAAAACAAAACCTTTACATATGCTGCCT